TATTAGGATAATGCTAACTAATTAACTATCAAATTATATTTCCAATTCCATAAAACTCTAGTCTAAGACAATTTAGATAAAATTCAGATTAGGTGAAAGATAAAACCCATCAATATTTATTTTTGGAAATGTATTTTGAGGACTTCTATAATAAGAAAGTTATATTTTAGTGACATTAAAACTATATTTTATTTTATTTATAATATTTTCTGTATTTTATTTGACTTGAATTTAGGTTTGAACTCGAGTGATCGACGTTGACAATAGTATATAAGTATAACTATCATATTCATAGTACAGTAAAACCTCTATAAATTAATACTCTATAAATTAATAAACACTATAAATTAATAAATTTTGCTGGTCCCAAGTCAGGCTAATGTAAAAATTAAACAACTTCGATAAGATAATAAGATAATAAGTTTTTTTGAAATCCCTATGTAAATATAGTCCCAATAATATCATAAATTAATAATCACTATATATACATATAAACATATATGTATATGATATAAGAAGTTACGTTGAAATATGTTTTTAGTTTTTTTGTAAATATAAATTTTCTCCTAGATCTCATCTCTATAAAAAAGAAATTAATGTTATATTTATAAACTATAAGCTTATAATATACTCCATAACATTATAAAATAACCAATTTTCTGTTTTCTATTTATAAATATGCATCATATTCATTTTTTGTTTGTTTTATAGGATGTTAAACGATAAGAATTGAGGTATTAATCATAACTTTGAATTTATGTATATACTTTGTATATAAGTGAATTTATTTATAATATTTTTAATTTATTGTTATTTTTTTAAATATAGAATTCAATTCCAAAGTGTAAAAATCTATATAATCTTAGAGACTATTCATATTTTTATAAAATTGTCTCAATTCATTTTTTTTTTTTAATTCAAAAATTAAAGATACCACTATAAATTAATAATTAATAATTATTAATTTATAGATAAATTAATATTAATTTATAGATAAATTAATAAATTAATAAATAATATTAATAAATTAATAGATAAATTAATAGAAAAATAATAAATAATAGATATTCATATTCATATTAATAAATTAATAGATAAATATTAATTTATTCATAGATATTCATATTAATAAATTAATAGATACATTTATAGATAAATTAATAAATATTAATTTATAGATAAAATAATATTATAAATTAATTTATAGATAAAATAATATCACTATAAATTAATAAAATTTGGTGGTCCCATAATCGTTAATTTATAGAGGTTTTATTGTATAATGTTAAATAAAGTATATTGAACCCAAAAAAAAAATCTTTTTTTAGAAAAGAAAAAAAAAAAATAAATATATATATATATAT